CCCCACCCCCCCACCCCACACTCTGCAGGAGGGCTCCCTTCCAGCTGTGGAGCTGCGTGCTATCTCTGGTTAGAGACCCGAGAGAGCAATTAGGTCACTCCCATGAGCCCCTATGATGGGCTACCCCAGGCAGCTTGCAGCTCTCCTGGCTCAAGAGGGAGCATTTCCAGCCTCCACCCTTCTAGGGGGAACTAGGCACTTCACAACGTTCCCCCCTGGGCTCAGCAGCCCAGGGCCCCCAGACCATTTTGAGTCCCTGCTGTTAGACGAGCACTGCGCCCAGTTTGGCTGCTGAGTCGGGGAGAAATTCTTGCCAATCCCCTTCCTTGTACCGAAGCAGAGCCCTCTACCCTGACCCTGGTTTAGCTACCCATACCGACCAGTAAATTGGACCCTACCTGAACCCAAGGAGAAGAGAACTAAAGAAGCCGCCTTCTCTCATTCCAGGGCCGAGAAGTGCACTGTCCCTGAAGCCTAAGGGGCCAAGTCGGGCAGGAGCCCGGGGAAGTTAGCGGGGAGCCCAGGAGAGTGGACAGGAAGAGAGTCCAGATACTGGAATCTAAGAGCAGACAGAGCAGGCCAGGACCCCCAGTTTCCCACTAAGTGGGGGTGTCTGCACACTGCTGGAACCTCCAGAACACAAGAAGGAAGGACAGTTTTGACCCCGGGTTCCAACCCGAGTCCTGGATGCCAAGAGGGAAAGGTCCAGAGGCCACCACACAGCCCCAGCGACTCCCCACTAACAGCCCAGAAACCAGTGAGCCACCGCCCTGAAAGGTGTGTAAGTTGCTGGGGAGGGGGGTGAAGGGGAAGGTTCTCCTCTACATAGCTGCCTCCGCAACCCCTTAGGGAAAGCTAAGCACAGCTCCCCAGTCTGAGGGACACTGCGAGGGCCACCGGACCGCCTGGGCAAGAATCCTTCACTCCCCACCCACCTCCCTCCGCGGCTGGGCCGCCACTCGCCGCCCCGGCGCCCTGGAATCTCTGTCGCCGGCTCCATCGGACCCCCGACGGGCGCTGGATCGAATCTCCCTTCCACAAGCCCCTCTCCCACTCCGCCCCTCTCCACCCGCCGCCTTTGTGAGCTGGGAGCAGCGCCCGCCCTTCCAAGGCCCGGCAGAGGGAAAAGGGGGGCTAGAAAAGACCCAAAGCGAAAAGCTAGGGAGGCAAACAGGAAGAAAGAGAAATGAAAATGGGAGAAGCCCGAATGGGGATACAGGCGCTGCCACCCGCTCCAAACGCGGGGTCCCGCTCCAAACGCGGGGTCCTGCGCCGCGGTCCCTTCACAACTAAACAAACGAGAAACCTGTGTTCCGGCCTCACCCCCCGCCCAGGTCAAGCTAGTCCCTCAAGAGGCTCTGGGCGAAAACCGCCACGTTCCTAGGGGCCCCAGAAGGGGCTGCGTTCTCCCCCAAGCCGGCTCTCGGGTGCGCTCCCGAGCGCCCGGACTCCCAGCTCCGCCTGACGCGACCATCTCGACTTGATCTGGGACGCGGAGGAGACGGCCAGCAAGCCGCGGGGTCACAACCCAGCCAAGTGCCCCCACCCCACCCCGCCGCACCCTGCCCCGCCCGCCCACAGGAAAACACACTCGAAAAAGCCAGGGACAAAATGGGGTGCCCCTCCTCTTCCGAACACCTCCCCACTCGCACTCGGGGGCGTGCGGCCTCACCCCGAAGGAGTACCTCCCACCCCCAAGGACCTGAACAGATAAGTTACTCACTTGGGGTTAAGGGAGCTCCAGGACACGGGCTCCAGGTTCTTGGCCAGCGGCGTGGCAAGCCGGCACAGCGCCAACACGACCACCGCCACAAGCCACTTGCCAAGCCAACGCTGCCCAGGCCGGGCCATCTTCCCGGGGGCAGGCTGCAGTTCGGGATCCCCTGGCGCCTCCTCAGCAAAGCTCGCCTCGTCTTCCCAGGCTGCGCTGCGCTGCGAGCCACTCAGGCGCCCATCCTCCGCGACCGCCGGCCTTGAAGTGCTCCCCTCTCGCCGGCTTCGGAGTCGCTCTTCTCCTCCCGGCCGGCCAGGAGGACTCACTGGGCAGCCGCCCCCAACCCGCACATGGGCTGCGGCCTCCGAGGGCTCGCTCCCGTGGCCTTTCCGCCGCACCGGGCGCGACGGGGGCTCTGCGCCCCCGAGTGCTCCCGCTGGGTTCCGATTTGCTCCCCGAGACTGTTGGGGACTGCGCGCCCTTTACGCGATGGGGTCTCCCCGCTGGGGACTCGGTGGCCGCCCCGACGCCTCGACCGTCCTGAGATCGGTGCCCCTCGGAAGAAATCGAAATCTCCCTAAAACCTGAGCACGGTCCAGGGGCTCCCGCCTGGGTCGCCCTAGCACGGGTTCCGTTCTTCCAGGCCACACTGGGACTCCGGGCTGCGCGCCCCCCGACAGCTTCTACTTCAGCGCGGGCCCCACTCAGTGTACTTAGAAGAGCCGGGTGAAGCGGCCCAGCGAGCCAGTCCCATCAGTTTGCGCCTCTGAAGCCTCGGCCGGGTGGCCCGGCAGCCCCGTCCCCACGTCCTAGCTCTCGGCGATTGCGCCCGAGGGTCTGCGGCCAGTGCGAGTCTCACACACCTCCCACTGCTGTCCAGCGCGCATAGACTCCCTCCGCCGCCGCTGAGCTGTCTACTCCCTTGCTCAGGCGAACGCAAGGCCAACCCTACTGCTCTTAGCCAATAGCAAGCTCCGTCACGGGGTCCTTGGCCCGTACCACGCCCCCAGAACAGGAAGGGGGTGGGGTTTCAGGGAGCTCTTAAGGACGCCGCGCTCTCGATGGCACCAATCTGAATGTGCGGCTCGTGCGGTTAGGGTTGGGTCCCGCCTAGTCCTGTTCCCAGAGCGCTCACCCCGTGGGAAGTTGGCGCTCCTCTAGAGCTGTCGGCCTGTTCTCCCCGCACGCCCGGTCAACACTCCGGCCCACGGTCGTGGGCCACACAGGCCCCGTCACAAGTATCCTGGGAAAGGAGTACTTCCATTCTCTCTCGGCACACACGAGCCCTGAAGTCCTGCTTTGTGCTCGGCTCTATGGCAAGGATAGTTTGCTCCCGGGCCCGTGTCACGTACGGCCCCAGTGGCCTTTCTTCCTCCTGCCCTCGCAATGTGGTGTCCGCTTGCCCATAGACCCAGAGCCCTGAACATACAAACGGATAGCAGTGGGTGGTGCAGACAGTCCCGGGGGAAGCCGAGTTTTTCGCAACGAGGGACCAGGCCTCCTGCGGAATTTCAGACTTGAGAGAGAGCCTTGTGGGACCCGAGGAGCCCAGATTTAGAGTTCTTGTCCTGTCTGAAGGCACAGGCAAGGCCTCGGGATAGGCCAGCAGGGATAAGAGGGCACCTCGATAAAGAAAGACACTTCGAGGGCAGGGGAAAAGGCTCAGGGCAGGCAGGCGCCTTCTGAAAAGGCGCCCCGGCCCGGAGACATCGGACTCCAGGACCCCTCCCGACCTCGCCATCTGGGTCTTTGTCTCCCAGCCCTGGCCAATTCTCCCCGCCCCTCCTCGCTTCCTTGCTTATAACTTTGGCTCCATCCCATAGCCCAGACCCTCCCGGTCCGAACCGCTCTCCCTGATCGGACCCCAGAAGATGCACTCATGTAGTAATGTCTCCCCCTACTGGCCTTTCTCAGCACTGCGGGCGCCCGGGACAAACGGTGCTGTCACTGAACAGGAGCGTGGCGCACACAAGCCTGGCACACGCGCTTGAACACAAGACCTGGTACAGGCGTGGTGGCCTTGGCAAGAACCGAGGCCCAGTATGGGGAAGAAGGGAAAGCACAGGAGGAAGATCTGGGCTTGGGGTTGGCTTTAGGACTGCCAAGGATATAAAGCCTGCTCGCTGTTTCCTCATGGAGATCATGAAGTCAGGAACAGTCCCCAAGTGCTCTACCATTTACTCAGTTGCATGCCTTTGTCTTAACTGGGAGGTTGAGCCACTGAGTTTCTCACTGGATTCTCTCATGGTCTCTCTGGCTGTAGAGTGGGCCCGTCCTCCTTTCAGGGACAGGGCCTCCACAGGGAGAGGGATCTAGGTAGACAGGGAAGAGGAGAGCTGTCTGGGGTCTCTCAGCTCCCAACTGGACCCCTTGTTGAGTATGAGCAAGGAGAGGTGAGAAGACCATGCAAAGGCACACTGATACACCAGCTCAGAGACTAGGACTCCCCAATGCATGGCGGGACATCAGAACCTGAGTATGGAAAGCAGTCTGCCACTTACTGGGTGCCTACTCTGTGCCAAGAACTGTTAGATGTATTTCCTTTCAGAATCCTTTGAGACGAGTTCCACTATCCTCCTTTTATATAAAGGGGAAACCGAGGCTAATGGAAGAGAAGTGACTCATCTGAGGTCACCTATCTGATCAGCAGTGGAAGTGGGATTTGACCCCAGGGTTATGTGTCTCCAAAGCCCATG